TTGTTTCTGTCAATCCTTTTAATTCTTGATATTGATGTGAATGTGAAGTAGTATCTCATTTTAGCTATAATTTGTGTTTCCTTGACTATTATAGATATTGAAATTCTTTTCATGCAGTTATTGGATATTTATATATCTTTTTTTTTTTTTTGAGGAATATTAGGCCTGAGCTAACATCTGCCACCAATTCTCCTCTTTTGTGCTGAGGAAAACTGGCACAGAGCTAACATCTGTACCTATCTTCCTCTACTTTATATATGGGATGCCTGCCACAGCATGACTTGACAAGCCTTGCATAGGTCCGCACTTGGGATCTGAACGGGCGAACCCCATGCTGCCAAAGCAGAACATCCAAACTTGTCCACTGTGCCACTGGACTGGCCCTTCATATGTCTTTTTTTATGAAGTGTCTGTATACATTTTTGCTTTTTTAAATTTAATTGTCTAGCTGTATTTTGATCAATGAATTTTGGAAGATCTTTATGTATTTTGATATATAAAGTCCTTGTCAGAATTACTTAATGAGAATATTCTTCATAGTCCGTGTCTGGCCTTTTCATTATCTTAACATTATTTTTTATGAGTGCTTGTTTTGAAATTTGATGACATAAAATATATATATTTTTTGTTTTATATCTAGCGATTTTCTGTCCTTCCTAGTAAATTCTTGGTTACTTCAAAATCATGAAGACATTCTTCTATAATTTTTTATCCTGGAGAACTTTTACATTTAGTATTTACTTTAGTCCTATGATCCATGTCAAATTAATATTGGAGTATTAAAGCATGATGTGATATAGGAATTAAAATTAAATTTTGCTATACAGATATTCAATTGTTCCAGCAACATTACCCATTGAAACCCCTTTGTACCCTTGTTCAAAACTCCACTGACTATACATAAGTGGATATATTTCTGGATTCTCCATTCTGTGCCCTTAATCTATTTGTTATCCTTAGATCCACACATTGTTTTGAGAGCTGTAACTTCTTACTAACTCTTGAAATTAGGCAGTGTAGATCATTCGATAATTTTTATTTTCTCTCAAAAGTGCTTTGGCTAATTTGTCTTTTTTATATCTATATATATTTTAGAATCCATTTACTGATTATTGAAAATATAAGCTTGCTGAAATGTTGACTGGACTGGCATTAAAACTATTGTTCAATTTAGGAGCAGTTGACAACTTAATATTGAATTGATGAATAAATGAAAAGTAATGGGATATATTGGAGAATATAAGGCAGATATTCCTGTCATATATGATGGATACTTTTTGTTCTAATACACTATATAACCACCCCATACACCCACTTCTTTGGAGTTTTTCCTTCCTTCATGAAGGTACTCTTCCTGGTTATATGGTCCTTAGATCTGACTCATAATAAACTCACCCAAATTTTGATTTATAGATTGATTATGAATTATTTGTGTCAACAGAATATTCCAGTCTACAAGTGAGGTATGTCTCTCCATTATTTAGGTCTTCTTTAATTTTTCTCTCTGGCATTCTGTGCTTTTCACTATGTATCTCTTGCACAGTTTTTATTGTATTCATTTCTAAGCAGTTTGTGCTTTTGATGTTATTGTAAGTGATATTTTAAATATTTTAATTGCCAATTGTGGTAGTTTTTTACATTAAAATGTAAATTATTTATGTATATTGACCTTGTAATCATGTCACTTTCCAAAATATACTCAACTTTTCTTTTGCATATATATTTTAGTTTAGTTTCAGGTGTACGACTTCCTGATTTGATATTAGTATGTATTGTGAAAACATCACCACAATAAGTCTAGTCAATCTTTTGTTCATATTTTAAAAGGAGATTCTATGTAAACTATCATGTGATCTGTAAATAATATAGTTTTATTTCTTTTCAAGTCTATATAACTTCATTTCATAGATTGGAACTTCCAGTACAATGTTGAAGCTACTTTAAAAAGATAGCCAATTGAATAATCATAAAAATATAAGTAAGAAACTTACAGTGTCAGAAGGATATTTCCAGCTATCTGACTAGTGTGACATTTGTGTAGCTAAAGTCTTTAGATGTCATTTTAGTAGATATACGCCAACTGGTCATTGCAGTTGAAGCAGAGTGATATTAACTAAAGAATTTATATCTTCAAGTATAATTTAAATAGAGTCCAAAGATAATAAAATAAGAATGCATGAAAGACTTCTTTGAGTTAGTATTATACACTTAGGTAAAATCTGTCCCCTCTAACCTTATTCATTCCTCTGATAAATGAACATCAAATTCTTATGTGTGCACTTCTGATCAAGTGATCACATACTGAAAAGTGTGGATACTTTGCCCTTCCAAACCTGAAAGAGTTAATTCATTTCTTTTTGTCTGCCCATTCAGTTACTATTGAGTTAGTCCTATTTTGTGTTGAAAAAAATTTTTGTAAATCATAAGATTATTACAATGTTATTATATATTAAAGTATATCAGAAAACATTTAAATACATACATGCGTTAAGTACTTTAGAACAAATTTTCTTCAAACTAAATGCTGCCATCTGCTTAAAGAAGGGTCAAATCTTCCAGTACTTTTGTGCAAAACAAGAAATCTCCACATTAAAGGGTCAGGAAATGAGGGCTCTGCAATCCCAAAATTAGCTCTTCAATCCTACAAGAAATTTTTCTTTCATGGAAATATTTAAGCAGTAGATTTTACTCTTTAACTTTTATTATTTTGTTTGTTCAAGAAATCAGGAAGAAATAGAGGTACAAATTGAAACAGAGAAATCTTTCCACTTCAATTTGAAAAAAAATTTATGGTAATGCTCAAATATTCTCAAAAGTAGTGAGTTGATAACAATCTATATTTTTATATTGATATATAGCTTTTTCTCACTGACTGACTTCTCACAGTGTAACCTGGTATTTGGAGAGTTAACAAAATCAGAGATGCCTCTCCTCTTGGTCATACTACACTTTGATTCTTTTCATTGTATTGACGTGGAACTATCAGTGCACTGGACAGACTCGTAGCACCAAACAATGTCCAATTATTCTTTATTTTGCTTTCAATCCTCCTCCTAAATCAGTGATTTCATGAATCATCAATTTTATTCATGATCCTGGCTCTCAATCTCATCTTTGATCCCTAGCCTGTTGATGAAATTAACTCTCTGGGGCAGATTGGTTCCAGTACGAATCCATAATGTCCACCTTCCAAAGGGTCCTCACCTCTGACCAGTACTTCTACATCCTTTCTTTGGTTGTGTCACCCTTCTGCTCTCCACACTGTTTCTGTTCTCCAAGTCTCTCATCAACTTCATTATCTTTCACCTCACTCTCATTAGATGACTTAACCTCAGTGCTTATAGAGAAATATTGAAGATTTCTGTTGAGAATTCTGTCATCTTTACTATACACAAAAAAACAAAAGCTGTCTGCCCATATTTTCCTCCTTCCATTTTATTAAAGATGATGACTAATTTCTCCATCTGTGCTAAAGATTGCATGTACTCAGTACCAAGCAGGGTACACGATGTTAGGTGTGAACTTTGGCCTCAAAGGAGAATCTAGGATCTCAGAGAACCAAAATAAGGTTATGCCCTTGAGGAACAAAGACTGTTTTAATTGGATTTTTTAGAATGACTTTTAAAATACTCTAGGGAATGTACCCAAGAAATCCATTATAAATCTTCCCATCTTGTTTTTACAAAATATGGTAAGTCAACTTTTACAGATAGGTCATTTTTACATTTGTTAATGAAAAATACATTTGCTCTTTTGGGTGGAGATTAATATTATCAATGTAAAAAAATTATTTTCATCAGTTCTGTCTGTTTTTTCTATTCATATGGTAATATTTCATGACATCTCTAAAAATTAATTACTATATGCACGCTCTTCTGATGTATATGTGAAAACTAAATAAAAATAGCTTTAGGTTGCAATTCTGAGGCATGATTTTTCCAGGCATATCTTACTTTCACAAAGAATTGAGATTCAGTGGCTCTAGGTGGGAGCTAAGGCCACATTTAAACTTGATCTGTATTTCCCTAAACAAATATTTTCATATGTATATTAGTTTGCACAAAAATGATGACCAAAAACTGCCACATTCTTCTCCAGGTATGTGCATTCTTTATCTACTATTCAAATTCTATCTTCTCCAAAAAGCCTTCTTTGAATGGCCATCTAAAAGCATCTCACCTTTGTTTTTCTTCATAATTCTTGCTTCTAACTGACATTACTTTATACATTTTTATCTATGTGTTTAATAGCTGTTCCTCCTCCTACAACACATGCCCCATGAGCGTGGGGAATTTCTTCATTGCTGTAACCCCAGAACCTGGAACAGAAAAAGAAAAAACCATCCTCATAGTGTACATGAAGAAATGAGTGGGTGAATTTGCAAAGCAGAGAGAGTAATTCCTCATTCTCTACCTTCTAAGTCATATTTCAAGAGATGAATTCACTAATTCAATGCCTTCTGAATGAAATTAAGGCAGATATTTATAGGTTCAAGTGAAAATGCTGTACCGAATATTTATTTTCTAGCTTGTATCTGAAAAATAAGATATCAGATGGGGAGGGACCTTTGAAATCCAAATTCGTTCAGTTTTCCACTTGAATGATTCCAATGACCTGCTGTTTTTCATAACCGATTTTAATTTCTATGTTTTTTTTTGCACAAACTTTGAAAAAAATTGACAAATATGGAGTTCTCCTAGATGATAGAAATAAAGGTGTGATTATATATAGAAATATATATATATATATATATATATATATATATATAAACAAGTGAGAAAGGGAGAGTTTGAGATACAGAGAGAAAGAGATATTACAGAGACAGAAGGCAAAAATATTTATGTAGAAGTTCTGATGTGTTTGTTGAAAAAAGAATAATTTCCCCATAGGCGAATAGATCAAAGAGTAAATGATGAAGTGCATTTACTGGGATAAATGGAATAAATGAAGAATCTGAATCAGACAGAACTTTTCACTTTCAGTTTTCAAGGGATAAGAAAATGTCTTCCCAAAACCACACTATAGTGATGGAATTCGCACTCTTGGGACTCACAAACAACCCAGTACTAGAGAAGATCCTGTTTGGAATATTTCTGGTGATCTACCTAATCACGCTGGCAGGGAATCTGTGCATGATCATACTGATCAGGACGAATTCCCACCTCCAAACACCCATGTACTTCTTCCTTAGCCACCTCTCCTTTGTAGACATTTGTTATTCCTCCAACATTACTCCAAACATGCTGTACAATTTCCTCTCAGACCAGAAGACCATCTCCTATGCTGGATGCTTCACACAGTGTCTTCTCTTCATTGCCCTGGTGATCACTGAGTTCTATATCCTTGCTTCGATGGCATTGGATCGCTATGTAGCCATTTGCAACCCTTTACATTACAGTACCATAATGTCCAAGAACATTTGTATCTCTCTAGTCACAGTCCATTATACTTATGGCTTCCTCAATGGACTCTCTGAGACACTGCTGACTTTTCACTTATCTTTCTGTGGCTCCCTTGAAATCAATCATTTCTACTGTGCTGATCCTCCTCTTATAATGTTGACCTGCTCTGACACTTATGTCAAAAAGATGGCAATGTTTATAGTTGCTGGTTTTACTCTCTCAAGCTCCCTCTTCATCATTGTCATGTCCTACCTTTTCATTATTGTAGCCATCTTGAGGATCCGTTCTCCTGAAGGCAAGCACAAAGCCTTTTCTACTTGTGGTTCCCATCTGACAATAGTCACTATATTTTACGGAACCCTCTTCTTCATGTACTTAAGGACTCCATCTAAGAAGTCTGTAGAGGATTCCAAAATAATTGCAGTCTTTTATACTTTTTTGAGCCCAATGCTGAACCCAGTGATCTACAGTCTAAAGAACAAGGATGTGATCCAGGCCGTGCAGCAAATGATTAAGGTAAATCTCTTTCATAAAATTACCGTTTAAGCATCTTTTCATTTGAAATGACTAAGTGTCTGTGGTAAGATGGTGTTTAGAGCCTAGAAATGAGAAAGAGAGGGTTCCCAACTGTACTAGGGTCCCTAGTGCAAGTTTGTTTTTGAGGATCAGCAATTTTAGTCTGTGGGACATTCCCTTAACACATAACAAACATCTCTCTTTGTTAAACTAAGAGTTGTGTTTCCACTCCTAGGAAACAGAATATGCTGCTATCCAGATTTATAATCCTATGTGAAAAGTGTATTTTAGAATCATTGTAAAAGTACTCTATACTCCGTCTAAATAATTGTATTCTTCCTTTTATTTTTTAGTCATGGGAACTACTGTGGCTTTCAGGAACCAAACTTAAACTCAATTTTGGCAACTCTCTTAATCCAGATACTTTATTTCTTTATAGGATTTTTTTAAAAACTTTTTTCTATTTATTTACTTCTATTTGTGATTTAATCTTTTCACTGTGTAAGTTGTGGGGTGAAAGTCATCTCAGAATTTCTTCACAGACAGGATAGAACATAAATCAACATGCGTAAATATAATCATAAGTCACACGATTATAATTTGGTACTCCTTTTCATATCACTTTTCATTTCAATCTTTGCAAATGAACTAGTGAGAAAATTATTATCTCCATTTATAACATTTGGATTCTTAGGCACAGAGAGATTAAATGACTTACTCAAAGTCACTCAACCACTCAGTAGCACAAAGGTAAATCCCTTGATTCCAAATTCTTTCCTCTTTCCAACTCACATTGCAGTGGTTAAACTCCTCAGCATTGCAAATGCTGGACAGATTGCTGGGGATAATAAGCTACTGAGGTTAGTCCTGTTCCAGAAACCATGGTGAGTCTGAGGAGAGTGATATAGCTGATAATGGGTAATGTGAATTTCCTCTGACATTTCAGGTAAACATGATAATTTGTGTGCAATATACAAAGAATTATCCTACTGTTCTATGTAAAGCAGACAATATTGAGATGTGGTAGACGTATTTAGTTGGCATTTTACCGATATATTTTCCAGATTATAAAAGCACACATGTTCATTTTAAATAACTAGAAAATACAGACAACTAATGAAGAAGCAATATTTATCAAAGACATTTCCTAAACCACTGGATGGTTTCCCTCTGTGTTTTTGTTAATATTCCTTCTCAATAATTTTATGCATATATGTTATAGTTAATAAAACAAAATTGGAATCAATTGTCATATACAAGTATGAATATTGATTTTCAGTTGATGGTATAATGTTTACATTTCATATGGACAAAATATTTTTGGAGAACATAATTTTTAATGTAGTATAATACTTAACAATTAACTGATTTTGAACTTAATTACAAAAAGAATAGGTATAGATTACAGAAAAAGAAACTAAAAATACTGAAAGATATAAGGAATGAAAGCAAAATTTGCTTGTAATTGCCTATCTAAACAGAACCACTCTGAACATTTTCGTGTAGTTTTTTCCGCTTGGCTTATCTTGCGAACCATTACTCCGTCTTATTGATGTATCTTAGTATTTTTAAGATTAAGTTATATCTCTGTGTACATATTTTTATGATTGGTCCTTTAGGATACATCTCTGCAAGTGTAATTACTAAGTTAATTGTTTCGAACAATTTTAACACTCCTGTTAATCTTCTATAGATAAATTTTTCTTCAGAAAATTTGTAACACTTTATAGTTATGACAAGCAATATTTGAGGATAACCATTTCACTGTACTACTATTAATCGTAGAAAATATTATTTAAGATTATTTACCTCTTTGATGTTTCAACTGAAATTCTTAGGAAAAGACTGGAATTTTTTTTAACAAAAAAGTTTGAAATGTATATTTAATAAAGAAAGAAAATACCTCAGCTTGATGATTGCCCTTCATGTTATTTCTGATGGTTTCTCACATGAAGAATATTTGCATATTTGGAAAAAATTTTATCTATTTTTTGTTTTGTAGCTTTTCTCAATTCTCAATTTAAATAGGCAAGTATCTATGTTATGGTATTAATTTTTCATAATCATATTTTATAGGAATATCTTGAATTATTCTAGATATAATTTTGTTGTATGTTGTAATGTTGTACGTAAGTTTTCCTTGACGTTTTTAACCCACTTCCTCACATTATTTATTGGGCAACCCTTTTTTGCCCCACAGATTTGCAATGTTCCCTTTATGATACACTAAGTGAATACATTTCTGGTATATTTCTTCTGTTCCTTTGACAAATCTATATCTATATTTGAAGTCAAATTCTTATAATTAATGTAGGTTTTAAATGTGTTTTAAGCTCTGGCAGAGGAATTCTATCTTCATTATTTTTCTCTTTCAAGTGTAATTTGAATGAAAATCAGATGCTTCTAGCTATTCAATATTTTTGCCTCAGAATTTATGCATGTGAATGTTCACTGTAGAAAGTATATGCACACATATTAATAAGATCAAATATGACTATAGATGCAACACACATGCATTGTAAATTCTTTTAGGAATATGGAAGTTCTTTTGGTATTAATAGAATTATTATAGCTTGGTCCACAGATCTGATGGAGAGACGTATGGCATGGAGTCCACAGAGAGGACTGCTTAGAGAAGAAAGGTTACAAGTGAGTTAAGGGTGTTTTTGCCAGAAAGGCAGAGAGGTGCTGATGGCCCATAAATGAGGAAAGAAGCATTTAACTTTTACACGTTAATGCTGTGTACTTGTTAACACTTTTACACAAACATTCATTTTTCCATTATACCATTATGTGTCCATTATGCAACACTATTTTTCAGCGATTATCTCCCAAAAGGACTGACATGCTCACATGTACTCCTCAACTGTGACTCATTTTGAACACTGAAAAAAATTATAGAGATCCAAACTAAAATAAATATTAACTTTTTAAATCATTGGAAGAAATATCTGTTAGCTTAATTGCAGTGGACAAATTCACAGTTGAAAAGTCACTGAAATTTGACAATAAAAGAGGCATCAGATATTTTGGCAAAGATTTTGCCCAAAATAAGCTAAAGTGTAAACTTATTAAAATACTATAAGTTGGTAGAAATCTTACGAATTACTAAAACACCATCATATAAATAAATGTTAAAGGTTATGTACGGAAAGTTGATAAAAACACAAACACGCTAAAACTAATGAGTACAAATATTAGAAAGCAAAAATACGAATTAACAGACAGTTTTGTGTAGTCTCTGCGTTTAAGAAAGTTCAAAAAGACTGGCACTTTCTACATTGATGGTATCAAAAAGAACGATAAGATGAAGCTTTTCTGGAAATCAATTTAACATTGTGTCTTAAGGAATCTCAAAAGTGTTTGCATACTTTTACAGTTAGTCCAATTTTGAGAATGTGCTGAAGGTATAATGAGAAATGGGAGGAGATTTTCATAGCAACGTTTGCTTTATGATGGAGAAAAGGGAAACAAGTTATGTATTACATACAGGTCACCCACACTTTACACAGTACTGGGCTAACTGAAACCTGTACAGACTGGAAACATGTGCTTGCTTTGCATGGATCCCAGTTACCACAACACTGTTCAAAGTGAGGACTGCCTGCATTTAATAACCGGCTAGGCATAGACATGTGCCAGACAAAATAGAAGCTGGCTGTAAATATCTAGAATCTCTGGAGGGGTGTATTGACTGTGATCATCAGGAGACTGGGACTATAGCTAGACAGATTTTTGCATTAGAATGTTATAGAGACATTAAAATGAAGAAATTCCCAACGAATGAAAGGGCAAATCATTTTATATAGTTTTTTGTGAAAAAAGAAGAGCACACCAATATATATATTATGATAACTTTGTAAAACACTAAGATTAAGGAAAAGTAAAGCTTGTTCTTTATATCTATGTCCCAATTTTCCATGATAAACACTTATTGCCTTTATTAGCAAGAAACAAACAAAAAATTTCATTTTCAATATCATCCAGATCCCAAGACATTAAATTAAAAAATCTTTACTGATTAATGTTTGAATTTGAATATGAAAGTAGGAAAAAGCAGGGATTAAAAACCTGTTCTACACCAGTGTGGAACAGCTTGGTCATCCATGTTTTTCTAATTCAATCTCCTACTATTTTTCCCCTTAAAAGTATTGTGCTTCCAAATATTTTGACTTTCTTCAGTGTTAAATAAAGTCATGCTTATGTTGTTTAGAGTGGGTGATGAGGGCAAGTCAATATCAATATCTACAATATTTTAATCTAGAAAATAAAATTTTCTTTCATTCAGAAGTTTCCTTCTCAAGAGAAAGTTCCTCCAATTAAAGGATTTTTTCCTCTTCTTCTTCTCAAGCTTAAACATCACCTTCAGATAGTCAGCATACTATGACATTAGAAAATTGAAACAAATTAAAGTTGAGTTCCAATAAATTGCAACATGTCCCATACACTTGATATCACACTTTGTATTTAACCATCAGGAAATCTTGACTGTTCTACTTTCTAAATATTACATATTAAATCTTAACACAGCTTGTCAGAATTTCCTCTGCTACCAGTCAGGTCTAAGATGAAATTATCTTTTGCCCAAACTATAACAATGATCTTTCTCCTTCCACACTTGACATCCTCTATCCTCCCATGAAAGCCAGTGATCTTTATAAAGATAAACCACATCATGTTACGGACTTGGTATAATAGTCCAAGCCTTTCCATACCACTTGAGCTAGAATATAAACTTCTTAAGAAACATCATAGAGTCTACAAGTACTTATGTGATGCCTTCCTATACACCTCTCTAAATTTTTTGACCCCTTTCTCCTCAGTCCTCCTGCCCTTGCCACATTGAATTTCTAACTGTTTCTTGAATATGCCAAGCATATTCTTACCTCAGGGCCTTTGCACATACTGTTCCCTCTGTTTACAATGTTCTCCCATCAGACCTCTGGGTGACTCATTTCATCACTTCATTTAGATCTCTATTCTAATAACACCTCCTCTGAAAGGGATTGCCTGGCCACTTGTCTAAGTTA